AAAAAATAAAATTAGAAAGGAAAGACAATACAACAGATCATAAAACACTACTTATGAATAATTACACACCAACAGGTTAGAAAACTTAGAATAAATTGATAAATTCCTAGAAACAAACTACCAAGACTGAATCATGAAGTAAAAGAAAATCTAAACAGACTGATTACTGATTGAATCAGTAAACAAAACCTCCCAAAAAACAAAAGTCTAGTACCATATGGCTTCACTGATGAATTCTTCCAAATATTCAAAGAGAAATTAATACCAATCCTTCTCAAACTCTTCCAAAAAACAAAAGAGGAGAGAATTCTTCCAAACTCATTTTGTTAGGCCAGCATTACCCTGCTACCAAAACCAGACAAGGAAACTACAAGAAAAGAAAACTATAGGCAAATATCCCTGATGCAAAAATCCTCAACTAAATATTAGGAAACCAAATCCAACAATGCATTTAAAAGACCAAAAACTGTTAATAAAGTAGAACTTATTCCAGAAAGGCAAGGATGGTTCAATATCCACAAGCCAACCAATGTAAAGACTAAAAACCATATGATTATCTGAATAGATGCAGAAAAAATTCACTTGACAAAATTCAACATCTATTTATGATTTAGAAAACAAATTTTCAACAATATGATATAGAGGGTGTGTACCTCGACATAGTAAAGACCATATATATGACATAACCACCGCTAACATCATACTTAATGAAGAGAAGCTGAAAGCATTTCCCTTAAGATCAGGAACACATATGGAGAGGGTAAACACATGCTAGGATGCCCACTCTCTCTACTTTCATTCAACATATCAGGTTGGCCAAAAAATATTTGTTTGCATTTTTTTGACCAACCCAATAGCCTTGGAAGTCCTAACCACAGTAATTAGACAAGAAAAGGAAACAGAAAGCATTCAAGCCAGAAAGAAAGAAGCAGAACTGTCACTATTTGCAGATGACATGACACTACTTACAGAAAACCCGAGACTCCACCAAAAAGGAACAAAAAGGTTGGTCTATAAACAAATTCAGTAAATTTCCAGGATATATTATCTCTATACATACGAAATAATAAGGAATATACATATATACTGGTCTTTGTCCCTAGTTTCCAGCACAGAGATCCTAAAAACTCTCATAAATTCCTAAGTGATAAGGAATCATCTAGGATCATCTCTTATTCCAATAGTTCTCTTAGACTTCATCCCTGATACAGGGCTCCAAAACTATAAATTCCTAAGTGGTAAGAGCCCCAGGAGCATGTTTTGTTCTACTGAGATGACTCTGGGTGGGCCCTTGCATGGGTCCTGTATGGGGGCTGGTAACCACAGAAAGATCAATGATCAGAAGTTTGCAGCTCTCTGCCCTACTCTGTTTTCCAGAGAAGGCAGAGCTAGAAACAGAGTTAATAACTGATCATGTCTATGTGAGGAAGTTTCCATAAAATCCCAATATTATGAGGTTTGGAAAGCTTTCAGATTGGCAACACATCCACAACAGGAGAGTTATGAACCCTGACTTCATGAGGTCAGAAGCTCCTGCACTTAAGACTTTGAGCAGTTACTATCCAAAATATATAAAGAAGTCAGGATAGTCAATGTCTTGTAATAACCTACAATGGAAAATAATTTCAGAAATAATATATGTGTCTATGTATGGCTGAATCACCTTGCTGTGTACCTGAAACATTGTAAATCAACTATACTTTAATGAAATACATACGAAAGAAGAAAAGAAGTGAGGGACTTCCCTGGTTGTCTGAGTGGCTAAGACTCTGCGCTTCCAGGGCACAGGGCCTGGGTTGAGACCTTGTCGGGGAACTAGATCCCACATGCTGCAACCAAGAGTCTGCATGCTGTAACTAAACATCCCCCATGTCAGGACTAAGACCTGAAGCAGCAAATAAATAAATATCTTTAAAAGTACTCGCAAAACTCAATAGTAAACAAAACAAACAATCCAGTTTGAAAGATGGGCAGAGGATCTGAATAGACATTTTTGCAAAGAAGACATGTAAGTATTTTAAAAGGCCAACAGGTACTTGAAGAGATGCTCAACATCAGTGATCACCAGGAAAATGCAACTAAAACCACAATGAGATATCACCTCATACCTATTGGAATGGTTATTATCCAAAAGACAAGAAAGAGAACCCTCGTGCACTGTTGAAGGGAATATAAATTTTTGCAGCTACCATAGCAAATAGTATGGAGGTTCTTCAAAAAATTAAAAATAGAATTTCCATATGATCCAGCAACTCCTATTCTGGGTATTTATCCAAAAGGAAACAAAAACATCACTCAAAAAAGATATATGGACTCCCGTGTGCACTGGAAAAAATTATTTGTAGTAGGTAGCATGAAAGCCACCTAAGAGTCCACCAACGGATAAAGAGAATGTGAATATTGTGAAATTATGGAATATTATTCAGCCATCAGAAAGAAGTCAACATTGCCATTCATGACAACATAGATGATCTTTTGAGGGCACTGTGCTAAATGAAATAAGTCAGACAGAGAAACACAAATACTATGTGACCCCACTTAAATGCGGAATCTAAAAAAAATTACAAAAGAAAATTGGACTCATAGATACAGAGCACAGATTAGTGGTTGCCAGAGGCAGGGGCGTGAGTGATGAAAGGTAAAATGGATGAAGGTAGTCAAACAGTACAAACTTCTAGTTGCAAAATAAATAAGTCGTGGTGATGTAATGTACAGTTGGTCACTATAGTTAATAATGCTCTATTGTATGTTGGCTAAGAAAGTAGATCTCAAAAGGTCTTGTTACAAGAAAAAAATTGTAAATATATGTAGTTCTTTTTTTTTTTAATATATGTAGTTCTATGTCCATTATATCTCAGTTAAAGAAAAAAGAAGACACAGAACTTGGAAAAAAGCTTTTCACTTTGATGAAGTCCAATTTACCTATTTCTTTTGTGGCTCATGCCTTTGGTGTCTCATCATCTATTCCATGGACACAAAGATCTATTGCCATGTTTCTTTTAAGATTTTTATAATTTTAGTTTTTGCATTTAGATTTATGTCTGAATTTGTGTTAATTTTGTGCTGGTGTAAGGTAGGGGTCCAACTTCATTCTCTTGCATGCAGTAGTCTTGCAATTTTGTTGAAAATCAATGGAGCATCCCTCAGTCAGAAAGGATACAGGACACAAGGTAATCCAGATTGAGTTATAGGCTCCAGGGTGAGGCAAGTGAGGCATCTGACAGCCACCTGGCTTTCGACCAAACACCAGCACATTAGACAAAGAGCCCAGTGCAGTCCCTGCCATATCTCTCAGGGACGAAGAAGCAGCTGTCAGTTGTGAACTGAGAATAAGTTTAAGATGCTATATGATGCGCAGGGCTGCTGTCTGAGCGCCATCATGCACGGCAGGGCACGGGGCGTGGGCTCTGCTGGTTTCCTCACAGCATGTCTGTGACATGCCCAGGGGCCTCCATCTGTGGAGGGTTCTGCCTGCAGGGAGCCCTCCCCAAAGGGATGTACTCCTCATTGTCTGAAATCAGCTAGAGTGTACAGAGAGTAGTGGGTTTGTTGCTTCAAGGCTTCCTCTCGATCTCGTGGAAAATTCAGTCCATCTATTTCTGGAGAGGTAAAAGCACATATCACCCACAGCTTCACATACACGTGCACCCAGAAATGTCACCATTCTCCATGCTTGGCTCTGCCAAGCCACTTCTCCCTTGAGACACTCTGTTATTTAGAAGGGAAAAGCAGTGTGTGGAAATAAATCCTCAGGCAGCAGAGGGTCTGCCTGCGGAGTATTGTTATCATCCTTATAATCAGGAAATGAAGAGGCTCTAAATAGCAAAGGCAGATAATTACTGCCTTCAAAAAAGAGAACAGAAAGCAAGTCTGCTTCCATCTGAGTCAAGCGTATGCACACCATCAACGTGCTTTTGATGTGGAGGTGGTGGGAGCCCAGTGTCACTCCCTGACACAGACCCCGAGGAAATGAGTCCGCTTCACAGCACTGTGTCCGTCACTTCTGGACTGCCTGTGGTCCAGGCCCAGAGGGAAGTCAGCCCGAGAAAGGGCCCTCTTTCATAAAGCACTTGTGTTAGTTCCTATCACTGCTGTAACAAATGCCATTTGGCGTTTCTGGAGGCCAGAAGTCTGAGAAGGCCACCGGCAGGGCGGCGCTCCTCCTGGCAGGAGTGGCCATTTCCTTGGAGGTTGCCTGTCTTCCTTGGTCCCCGGTCCCTGCTGGAATTGCATCACTCCCGTGATCACGTCTCTGACTGAATCCCTGCCTCCCTGCCATAAGGACTCCTATGACTACGCTGGATCCAGTCAGATAATCCAGGACAACTTCCCCTTCTCAAGGCCCTTTCCTTGGTCACGCCTGCGGTCTCCTTGGACATATTCGGCACCAGGATCACAGGTTCCAGGGGTTAGCACGTGGACATCTTTGGGGGCAGTTTGTCCTCAGTGACCCCACTATAGGCTTTTCTGCATCCAGGGGCCCAGGTAAGGAGTCCCGCTTGCCTGACCTGCTCGCATCTGAGGCAGAAGCAGAAGGGCCCACCACGGGCACGTGCTCTGCCCTTCGTGCCTCTTTGAAGATTCCCTGGGAGCTTGCAATGAGAGAGGCAGGCAGGGGCCTTGGACTCAATCTCCAGGAGGCAGGCGCGTGGAGGAGTCCCTGGCCAGCACCCCTACTAACAGGGTGGTCTCCTGTGCGTCTTTCTTCCGGAAACAGTGGGCTCTTCGGGCAGGAAAGATGTCTCTTCTTCCTTTGCCGTCTCCCCGGCTGGTCACAGTGCTAGGTGCACAGTGGGTGCCCAGCAAGTGTCTGCTACCTTGCCTTACCTGCTTCAGATTCACACTCTGTTTCCCTTCCTGGGAGCACCGTTCCCTGTGGGATCAGCACTGACGCAGCCCCAGCCTGGAGTGCCCCCCACCAGCCCCACCTGCACCAGGTCTGAAGCAGAGGGGGTTATAATTCATTTTCACAGTACTCACGTCTCTTCCTCTCCCTTCAGCCTTGATGCTTCCAAGACCTCTGAGTGCCACGTGTCCTTCAGACATGCCCTCTGTCCCGACTGGAAGAGGAGACCTCAGGCCCAGGCGGTGCAGCCCTTCTGTGCCCAGGCAGAGGAGGGGGCTGGCAGCAGACTGGCCCTGTGGCTGGCAGCTGGTCAGTGCCAATGTCCCCAAAGGTGAAGGCAGAGCTCCACTACGATGGCAGAGATGGACAGGATTGCACTGGGCAAGAGCCTGGGCTAGGCTTCTCCTACAGAAGTGAAGACCACAGTTTTTAGGATCCTGGGGTCAAGACAGCACCTTGTGGGCCCCTCCCTGTGGGCGCTAATGACCCAGCCTCCTGGGCTGTATGGAAACTTCATCATAAGTCATGTGTGTCGGTGCTAAGTCACTTCAGTCTTGGCTGACTCTTTGTGACCCTGTGGACTGTAGCCCACAAGGCTCCTCCATCCATGGGATTCTCCAGGCAAGAACACTGGAGTGGGCTGCCATTTCTGATGGATCATCAACTCCACTTTCAGCTCTTCTCAATGGGGGGTGGGGCTGACAATTCCAGAATTCTCATCCTGCCTGGATCTTGCTGGTGACCTGCCCTTACCCAGGAGCATCCCCCAAAGTCACCTCATTAGAACAGAAGACACTCCTATCACTAAGAAATCACAAGGCTCCTAGGAGCTCTGTGCCAGGAACCTGTGGCAGGGACCAAAAATACATGTGTTTCCTACTATCTTATCCAACCTGAAAGAGCTTCTATTGCCAAATCCAAAAGGATTTGAACAATAGGATAAATAATATAGTATTGGGTTATAACCCAAAGTACAAAATAACTATATATACATAGTTATATATATATATATATAACCCATACTAATGAAAATCATGGTTGAATAAGTATATAAATGGGTGAGAAGGGGCCACTTCTCTTTACAAGGGATTTCTAACAGTATATGGATGCAGTCCCCACTCCAGGGGGCGGGCGTCTCACCCCCCTCCTCTGTGCCTGGGAGCCAAAGAATATTGTGGGGACAGTGGGAACAGTCCCTGGGGAGGAGAATGCTGTCGGGCAGCCCTCAGCCACGTGCCATGCTCTTTCCAAAACCCATAACCCAAGCCGGATCATGAGGAAAGCACTGGCATAACCCAAATTGAAGGACCTTCTACCAAATACTTGACCACAACTCCTCAAAACTGTTGAGGTCACGAGAAAGGACCCAAGACTGAGAAACTGCTCCAGACCAGAGGAAACGAATGTGATAATCCTGTGTGACGCACTGTCCATCCTACAGAAAAGAGGGCAGCAGAGGGAGGACAGGAGAAACCCAGAGGAAGCCCGGAATGAGTGACAGCGTCGCACCAAGGCTGCTGCCGAGAGCGACAAGGCCTCCAGGAAGCAGAAACGTAACCAGATGGAGGAGGGAGATGCCTGGGAGTCTGTGTCCTCCCAGGGAAACTTCCCTTCAAAGGTAAACTTTTTCCAAAATAGAAGCTCCTTTTTGAAAAATCTCGAATTGAGGTTTTTAGTAATAAATCCCTAATGCATTCAACAACCATGTATGTTGCACTTACCCCCTTCAGGTTGCTTTTCCGGGCGGCCCGAACATCACCCCTCCCTCTGACACAGCGGTGACCGTGGTGGCCCACGCTGGCAGGCAGAGGACAGAGGGCACAACAAGGGCCCTGGCCCCGGTGCTGCGAGCTGGGAGGGGGGCAGGTCTCCTCCCTCAGGGCGGAGGACCCACCAGCACTGCCATCGCCGAGGGGGCCTTCAGGAGCCCAGGAGGCCTGAGCTGGCGTGGAAGGGCAGGCAGGATTTCAGGGCTGGGGCTGAGAGGCCCTGGGGAGTGACCGCGGTGTCGCTTGTTTACAGACGCTGAAGACAAGACTCTGGGGCACAGAGGCAGGAGGGGCTGTCCCCAGGAGCAAGGGTCCCTGGAGGAGGTGGGGGCACCAGGGCCATGAGAGCCCAGGGGAGACTGGCCCTGGGGCTGCCTCCTGTGGGGGAGGCGCCCTCTGAAGAAAGGCTGCAGCTCTCACCCAGAGCCACCCCCTGGGAAGGGGGTCTCACCAAGGGGTCAGGCCAGGGGTGAGCGTGAGGCGCCCGCCCCGAGGGATGGCTTCTCCTGCAGCTCCCGCCTCAAGCCCGGCCTACCCAGACCAGGTTCTCACCTGTGCTCAAACGCAGGTGAGGAGTGAAGACGAGGATCAGATCTCCTGGAGAATTCCAAGAGCCAATCAAACTGAACTAAATCAACATCAGTTGACAAAACCTGAGGATGTAACTGGGAGCTGCCATTCTGTTCTGGCTGCTTTTAAAATTTTGCTCATGAATCTGATAAAATCTGGATCTCCAGTAGTTTTAAGTCCAAGCCCCTTGGACACTGTAGTTCTTTTCACCCTTTGCATGAACAATTCATTCTCCACAGCTCACTAAGCTGAAGAAGCCTGGGATAAACCTTGAAACAAATGTTAATGAAGTTCTTTGCCTGTAAACAAAAGATTAATAATAATAATGATAATCAAATCAAACTAAACTTGCCCACTAGGGCTGGCCTTGGCTCTGAGCCCCCCAGAGCAGCAGGCAGGGAGCTTTCCTTGTTGAAGGCAGAGAATGAGGGGCCTGTCACTCCATCCCCTTGGTGGCAAAGCTGCTCAGCTTCTCCCCTCTCATAGTCATTGCAGAATAGTGTCAGGGCATCCGTCCCTTCCCAGGACTCAGCAGCCAGGCCAGGTCTGGGCACGGGGGTGCCTCTGTGCCCACCAGGGCAGTGTGGTCCCAATTTCAAAAACTAACTCTCCTTGCAGAGTCATGGCATTAATTGCCCCAGTAAACATAAACATGCTCCAGTGTTACCAGGGAAAGAAAGCAGTGAAGCCTCCATCAGCCATGTACCAGTTTATAGAACAGAAAGCAGCCCTGGGAGGCAGAGGGTGCAGGCAGGACGGCTGAGCATCAGGAGCTCAGAGACAGGTGGGGAACAGCGAGAAAAGGCGCTGACAGCTCCCCAGGCCCCTTCTCAATCTGCCGGCAGGAGCTGGTCAGTCTGTCCTCTCAAGTGGGCTGGAGGACCCCCGAAAAAGTCCAAGTTCTGGGACATGTTCCCTTCACAGACAGGCTGGGCCCCACCCTCTGAGGATCGCCCAGGGCCGCAGGAGTCCTGAGACCTAATAATACACACAAATCAGAACACGGGCTGCGGGCCCTGGCCATGCAAGGACAGAGGGAAAGCTGACGCCCAGCCTGGCCCACTGGCCTTGCCCTAAAGCAGCAGGGTGCCCGGCCTTGGAACCAGGCCCCCGGCTGTGCCAGCAGCCCCTATATCGAGAGAATGAGCCTGCTGGGGGGAATGGCAGGCATGCGGCCCAGCTGTCGCTGAGGCGGCCCAGAAAGCCAGCTCCCCCCACACCCTCCTTCCTGTCCCCAGGCTGCAGCCCAGACTGAACGGTAATGAACCTGTAAAACGGCAAAGCAGGAGCACAGACCGCGGGGAGGCCACTTAGAAGAGGGAAACACAGCAAGCCTGTTATAAAGGAGGTAGTAGCTTTGTCCTCAAAGCTGACTCTGACTGAGGGGACGAGGGAGGGCCGTGCCCCTTTAGGCTTTCCTCATATGGACCCTGACTGTTTCCAGGGCTGCCCCAGGCTTGCCCACCATCCTCACCACCACATTCCCCCATGCATCCTAGGAGAAATAACCAGCTTCTATACACAACAGCATTCTGGGACTGTATCATCGCCTCTTGGCCTGGACTTTCCAATCTGCAAAATGGGAAAACTTCTAGCTTTCCTCTGGGGCTGGCAGCTCCTTGGCACAGGGGCAGGGGGCAGGGAAGACCTACTGACCGCGGGTCACCATGGGAAGAGACCCACCGCTGGGACAGCGGCCCCCCAGAGCTAGCCCCCACAGGAGAAGTGGAAGGGCTCTGCGGGGCTTGGTCACCACTCCCGAGGAGCGCCTGAGATTAACAAGACCATGGCCAGGCACCTGAAGCCAAAGAGAGCCTCCAAGAAGCTCAGGGCCCGAGTGCGTCTCCCTGGGGGCCATGCCTTGCCCACTGACTGGGGCCATGGGCAGAACAAGCTTTCCAGATTCCCAACAGGAAGGGGAGGGCACACAGTGGCCAAGGAGAAAGGAGAAAAAACTGGCCACTTGGCGCTGTCCCTCTGCTTCCTTCTAGGGTCAGGTGGAGTGTGTGCAGGGGAGGACAGCTGCCTGCCCCGGAGTCCCCAAAAGGAGAGGCTGTGCCAATGGCCAGGCGCCTGCTCTGCGGCCGTGACCCTCGGGGCTCTGTGCTGCTCCGGGTCAGGGTTGGCCTGGCTAGCCCCAGCCTCAGGACACAGGCAGGCCCGGGGCCTGGACCACCAGGTTCTCGCTTGGAACATCAGAGGGGAGACCCAAGACTCATGGCTGTTCACCAGGCTTGGAAGCTGGGGGGCTGGTGGGGCCGGCGCCCACTCCACAGAGCCAGCCAGAGGGGAGCGCTGTTCTCAGCGCCCCCCTTCCCTCCCAGTGAGTCAGCCCTGACTCCATCTTCCAAGGGCCTCTAGACCCCAGGCTAGCAATATTCATCCTGTGATTTGATGCAAACACCTAGCTTCAGGAGCCGGGAACCAGTAACAGCCTCTGACTGGCTGCACCAAATAAAGAAGGGATTGAAAGTATAGAACCTCAGAGAAGCTATGACCTCTAAGAGATGATCTTGTTCCACCTGAGTGCAGACTGAGCCCCAGAGGGGCCCAAAGGGACATGGCAGAGCACCTCTAGCCCTTGACCCCTGCTGGTGACCTCAGAAAGGCTGCTGTACCCGTCACAGACCTAGGCTAGCATGCAGAGCTCTTCTCAAGACACAGCGGAGAGGCAGAGCTAGTGATCTGCTGAGATCCTTCCACCCTGCAGGGCTGGGCTCGCTGCTCCCTCGCACAGGCCAGAAGGGGGCTCACAGACGCCACGGGCTTGCAGGAGGCGGCACTGCCCAGGGGCGGGAGCCTCCTCGGGCATCTGACTGCCAACCTGCCCGAGCTTCTGAGGGCTCCTTAGAGTCTGTTATCCACCGCTGTTCCCTGAGGCCGTCACGCCGCCGGTGGCGCAGTTTCCGCCCAGCCCCCCTGCAGCTGCCACCGTGCTGGGTTCGTTCGCTGCCAGATCCAGCCTGGAGT